CGCTCGCTCCAGCCCCCAGGCCGCCCACGCTCGCTCCAGCCCCCAGGCCGCCCACGCTCGCTCCGGCGCCCGCGCCGCCGGCGCCCACTCCAGCCCCGGCTCCAGCTCCGACGCCAGCGCCTGAGGGCAGAAACGACATCCATGATACAAGGAGAAGGGCTGAGCATTGCGCTTTCCCAGCAGCATACATGTAAGTACTGGGGACTGCGTTGAGAGTGGGTCACAATGGAGACACAAATGTTTAATGTATATTCAGTCTTCTTCAGGGTTATTTAAAGTAGTGTTTTAACAAAACAAGTAATCACAAAAATCGACTTTCCTCGCATATTTAATATGACCATATGCTTTATGTTCTTGTCAAAAAAGTCGCAAAAAACGGCCACCCTCACTTATTTCATTTGTCCATTGGCTTTAGTTGTTTGTCAAAATAATTGGCACAAATATCCGGCTTCCCCACTTGTCCTATTTGTCCATATGCCTTAGGTGTTTCGAGAAAAATTCGGTATCCCCACGAATCCCCTTTGTCCATATACCTTAGGAGTTTGTCAAAATAATTGTCACAAGGTCTGATATCCCCTCTTATTTCAATTGTCCATATGCGTTAGACGTATGCAAAAATATTGTAACAAAATCTGGCATCCCCACTTACTCCATTATTTCGCTTGTCCACATGGTAAGGGTTTGCCAAAACAATTGTCACAAATATCTGGCATCCTCACATATTCCATTGGTCCATATCGTTAGGTGCTTGTCAAAAAAATTGTCACAAAAACACTCATCCCCACTTATTCCATTGGTCTACATGCTTTCGGTATTTTTGAAAGCAAATTTCACCAACATTGGCATACTCACATATTCCGTTTGTCCTCGTGCTTTTAGTGTTTGTCAAAACAGTTGTCAGAAAAATCTAACATTCTCACATATTCCACTTGTTCACATGCTTTAGGTGTTTGTCAAAACAAATGTCACAAACCTCAGACAGCCTCACATATTCCACATGTTCACATGCTTTAGGTGTTTGTCAAAACAAATGTCACAAACGTCAGGCAACCTCACATATTCCACTTGTTCACGTGGTTTAGATGTTTGTGAAAACAAATGTCACAAACGTCTGGCATCCTCACATATTCCACTTCTACTCATGCTTTAGATGTGTGTCAAAACAAATGCCACAAACGTTTCCACTTGTTCACGTCCTTTAGGTGTTTGTCAAAACAAATGTAAAAAAAGTCTGGCATCCTCACATATTCCACTTATTCACATGCTTTAGGTGTTTGTCAAAACAAATGTCACAAAGGTTTGGCATCCTCGGTTTCCAATTGTCCATCCTTAGGTGCTTGTCAAAACCATTGTCACAAGAATCAGGCATCGCCACGTATTCCATTGGTCCACGTGCTTTAGGCGCCTGTGGCATCCCCACCTGCGCTGGCGAGCGCGTCCGCCGGGGGCGGGGAGGCGGGCACGCTGACGGTCTTGTAGACGTATCCGCCGCCGCGGCGCCGCGGGCCCTTCACTTTGGTGTAGACGACGGTGTCGCCGTCGGCGTGCGCGCCGGCGCCGGCGTCCACTCCCGCCGCGGCGCCCGCCCGCACGCGCGTCCTGCGCACCGTCGGCCCGCCTGAACAGAACAAAGGAACGCGCGCGCGCGTGCGGGTCACAGCGAGGTCAAGGTGGAAGACGTGCACTCGAATTCCGACGAGAAAAGAGGACGAAGGAAGGTTAGCACAAACTGGGAAGTCCACAGGCTCATACCGGATGTGCTGGCTCAGGGTTTCAATATTGAGGTCACTGTTGTGCCTAGGGCGGGGAGGTCTTTGAGTCACGTCGATGGCAGGATTTTCGACACTAGCTGCATAGATAAGGTCGAGTTCAGCCGCTGGCCGGATAAGACTTCTAGCGGCCGGCTGGTCTGATTGATGGTTTTCCGTGGTTTCTCCGATCAATGACAGGCGAATGCCGGAGCATTACCCAAACAAACGGGCTAGGGACCACGGGCGATCTTTTCTTCCTCTTCCTTGTCCTAAATGTTTCTTAGCGTATTATAAACACTACTGTGCCATCACAAACGGGCCAGGAACCGCGCACAATCTTCCCTTTCTCTTCCTTGTCCTAAATATTCGTGAGCTTCTTACTCATCCTAAATGTTCCTTAGCGTATTGTAAACTGTGCTGTGCCTTAACAAACGGGTCAGGGCCGCGCGCGATCTTTCCTTCCTCTTCCTTGTTCTATTCTCCCCCCTTACACACACTCACTTACATGCACTACACTACCATACCGGGGGACCAGTCGAGAGCTTAGAGCTTCTCCCAGCTGGGGTGGTGCCTTTCGTTGGTGAGAGATACCTGGTTGAGGAGAAACCCCGCAAGCCGACGGGTAGATCAGCGTCGGATGTCGCCATACAGCAATGAAAGATCACTTCCACCTCCCGCGATAATCATGCACTTATGGGACCAAAGACCGTAGCATTTGACAAGCCCGAGAACACTAATCAATCAATTAGTCAACTGCCTTATATTATTGTGTGCTGCTGTCAGGGCTGTGAAAAAATATCGAAATTTTTAACATCGAATTTTTAACATCCCTTTTTCTGATATTGGAAGAGAAGCCTACAAAGCCTCTGGGTTTGTAAACCTCGTCGAATATTCTTTTTACAGTGAATAAAAATTATCGCATTACATGGTGGGATTGGGTGGATAATGCAGATAGATTGCCTAATGTGTGAATGTGAACACAAAGCGCCACACAGTGACTGCAGTGGTTCCACCAAATAGGTAGAGAATGGTGGCCACAAAGGAGAGAGCGACATTTCTTTTTTTTCTGACAGTTTACGGTGGACTTAAAATGCAATTTCCTTCGCAAAAAAGAAAGCGACGAGAGAACAAGAAAGTGCGTCGACATGGCGGTTTTCTTTTCTACGACCGCTAATTAAAGTCGGTTGGTTGAGAAGGTATTTTAGGAAGGAGAAAAACGTAAATATTTTTATTTCTGTTTCGGATGTTCCTCTCTTTTGTTCTTTATTTTGCGAAGTATTTCGTTGGAGCCGTCGGCTTTCGTTCTAAGGCGCAAATGTCTCCAGAATGCTGCCTGGGTGGTCCTTGCGTTCCACTGCCCTCTCAGGAATAAATTGCGATCAGCGCTTTGGCGATTGGCATATTGACAATTTTATAAGAAAAATCTGTATGGAACTAGCCTCTCGTGAAGCGCATAGACAAGACTTGTCCAATGACTTGGTACCGCGAGACGTGTGCTCAGGGTATCAACTGATGTCAATGCAGTGCCTCTGACCGGGAGGTCCAAATGTTCGAGTCCCAATGGTAGCCGGATTTTCGACACTAGTCATATCGCTATCTGGGGAAGAATTCTAGCGGCCAGCTGTCCGATCGGTCGTTTTCCGTAGTTTCTCCGATTATTGCCAGATGAAAGACGGATCAGTGCCCTTTCAAACTGCCCAAGGACCGCGTGCCACCTTTCCTTCACATTCCTTGTCCTATCCTACCCCTTTCTTAAATACACACTTACATGTGCTATACTAACACATAGGCAGAGAGACCGGGCGGGAACTTACTGGGGAGGTGCCTCGCTGGCGGGAGATACCTGGTTGGGGAAAACCACCCTAGCCGATGGTAGGTCGTCACTGAATCTCACCATCCAGATCACAGGCACCTCGTGCGCAAAAAACATTCACTACCGTTACGGGACTAATGACATTAAACAGCATCGTGACCTTGAAAACGCCCTGGCCAATGTCGGAACCACTTCTTCCCTTTATCACTGCCGCTTTAGGGGGGCGTATACTAGCACTAAACCTGTCCAGCGACCAGACTTCAAATTCAATTCTCCGACGAACGCTGGGACTACTTTCTTTTCGTAACCCACCCGCCCCTGGGGAGCGGCTCCGGTTGAGACCATATCTGCACAACGACCTGGTTTCGTACCCGGAAAATGGCCCCGGCCATCGCCAGGGCAACGTCTTACTCTCAGGCTCCCACGAACAGATGCGGAAGATCCGCAGCCGGCGCGGAATGGCCACAGCGGAAATTTCGTGTCACGCTTTTTTTTATGAGCTCTCGTTTTATTACCTATGGATTTTGAAACGCTGTTGGAGGCGTTTTTTTCGCTGCCGCTCGAGTTTCGTGGAAGTTCGCTCGCCTTTGGGAGTCTTTCCTCCCCTCTTCCTCCCTTGCCTTCGTTTCTCGGATAAGCAAAACTGTCACCAAACGCTGAGTCATAATTGACGCTCCGGAGTGAACGGACCCGCAGATTCCGCCGGCGCGCCTAGCGTGGAACTTTCGGCGCCGCACTCGCTGCGAATCTTCCGCGCCGGCCTGTGGGAACCTTTATCCTTGCCGCATCTGGGGGGAGTAGACCAGGTGTACCCTACGACCTACGACCGATCGTGGTTCGGAAAATACCCCGGCCATCGACGGGACATTCCATCCTCATTCCCTCTCCCTTCCTCAGGACGACCCGCGGTGCCGCAACGAAATCGCGAATTCTGTTGCTATTCGAGGAGCATTCGCTATAATGTCCAGCACAAGAGAAAATAGATTATACTAAAAATCCTGCAAATCCTTAAAAATTATTTTATAAATGCTGTGAAAAACTGACTACGAACATTTGGAAAGTGAAAGTTCATTAACTGTTCAGATACAAGTCGTGAGGCACCCTTGAGGATGACCAGGATGCTTGACGAAAAGCCTGATATGAACCTGAAGTAAATTATATTGTTCAGTAAAAGCTTAATTACAATTATTACTTGTATTACACGCTTGTTATAAATTGTTGGTCACTATTAATAGATTGAAATTCTGCAAGTCTGTCATATTACAATAAAAAATTAATTGTTTTCTTTAACCATATTAGTCAAATTATTTTCAGGTATTGCATATTACTGAACTTTAAGTACTCATTTTTAATACTCTTGTTACACAAGTTAATTAATGGCGTTAACAGAAGTTTTTCCATGTTTTGTTCGCTCCCGTTGGACAACCCTGAGTGTGTTAGGAAACTTAGTTTAAGCACATATTTGAGATAACGCGCTGATCTTACTTAAGGCTTACTTACCTTGAGGGTTCTTGTTGTTAAGATACTGGTTCACAGATTGCAACACGGAAATGGGGATCTGAAACAGAAATTCCGTCTCAAGATTGTCTGACACGTCATTGAGGAAGGGCGTCGCTTGGCTGAGCAAGCATTTCTAACTACAACGGATAAATTTTCATTTCGTTCCATTTAAGATCTGCTTGTAATTTCTTCAATAGGAAATTATACTACTTGGCGCCGCCAAGTTAATTTTTTTCATGTGCTTTTTTCGTTTCATTTTTAATGTGTCAAAAAGAACAGTGAAAATTGTTGTATGTTCTAATGTGTTCCACATGATACTAATGTCGTTTGCTCGCCTGCTCGTTTTCTATTACATGAGTTGTTCAGAAAATTGTTCTACTTGTTCGCAGTGCATTTGATTCTGCGAATCTTTTGCGGTATAGACAGTAGTAGTTGACATTTAATTTCTTAATACTTATAAGGAATAATTTGTATCTGTGTATGTTTAAGTTTATTCGGTGGTGAGTAAAGCTGATTCATTTATTTGTATTTGTATTGGTAGCGTTGCTCTAGTTTGTGTGTACTTTATAGTTGTGCTTTATAGTATTGTATGTACTTTATAGTTTAGTGTGTTTTACGCTCTAATGTATTTCATATAAAAAGTGAACTTTAAAAAAATTGTCTGCCTAGGTTTGTAAATCTGGTTATAGTACATGTCAATTTACATCAAAGAAGGACATCTTTAAATGTAGAAGTTGTAGGCCCAATAACTTTCGTTCTACTTTCCTCTTCACCATTTCCGATCTAAAATTCCTTCTAAACAAACTTTGTGATTAACAAATTTAATTTTTATTTTTTTCACTTCAAGTGTAAACAAACTCGATGGTTTCAGTAATATTCTTGTCATTAATAACAAAATAATAATATAATAATAAAATCGTAATGAAAATAATAATAGCTACTTGTTACATATTGAGATTATTATCAGGGCAAAGGTTAATCCAGATTTATTTTTGAAGGTACATTAAAATTCATTACTTGCGTTTAATACGAATTTCGAATTCCAACTTGGCGTTGCCAAGAAATCGTTCCAATGGGACACTTTTCTCGTGAAAAGTAATTGACCTGATATCTGTGCATATCCCATGCCTCCTCACAAGCGTTGAATTCAATTCGTTCTCCTTACCCCCACCCCCTGAAAGCAATAGGAAGAAACGAAGAAAACAAAGCAAAGGAGCCCCAACTGCGTATTTGTTCTCGCAGTAGAACTAACGAGGATTCCGTGTAGAGCTGCGCTTGTGCTTGCGCTTACGTTGAAGATGTTGTCGAAGATGGTGCCGTCGGGGCTGGCGCCTTTGGCCTCGGCCGCCGCGCTCAGAGAGACTCCGCCGGCGCCACCGGCTCCGCCACCACCGCCGCCGCCGCCGCCAGCGCCGCCACCGCCCGCCGCCTTGGCGTCGCCCCCGACCTTCAGATTGGCTTGGAAGCCCACGTACTTGTGGAAGCCGGTGCCGCCGGCCCCCGACACACCACCGCCGCCGCCGCCGCCGCCGCCACCGCCTCCCGCCCCCGCGCTGGCACTTGCACTTGCGCTGGCGCTCGCGTCAGCCGAGTCAGCGGACACCTACGCACACGCGGGGGAACTCGTTAGCGTAATGACTAGCGGGCGGATTTTGATGACCTAAAACACGGCCAAAAATCAATACACTGCTTTAAAAATGGTGTAAAAACAAAGAAACATGACTCAAAACCACTCTAGAAGAGCAACTCAAGTTGTTGTAATTGAGGCTTCTTTCTTTTGTTCAAGTGAACTGAGCTCGCTAACTTTTGGTTAGAACTGTGCTTGAAAAGAAAATCTCTGCCTTTATTTATCGCGAAATCAGTAGAAATGACAATGGACGGGACACAGGATTGGTCTATCGGTCCATCCACCCATTCGTCAATTAATTCCAAAGATCACTCTATCTCAAGTAGAGTACTGTCATCATAACAAATATATTTTACTCAGATTCTTGATTTGCGTCGCTTTCCGTTAGTATGTGTGCTCTTGCCCTGGTCTCTTGTCTTGATTCCTATCATCAACATGATCTCACTCTTCTTTCATTTTGCAATAGTTGTGCATCTTTGCACTCAGGATAAGGCCTCCGTCACATTACTGACGAATGCTTAATAAACAACAGGAAGATGGAAATAGTTATTTTGCATTCTTTAGCATCTCGTCATTTTAAAATCGTTACTTCTTGTAGAATACAATACATTTCAGTCCAAAGCAATCTCACTGTTGAACTAGCGAAAAGACCAGCCTATGTCTTGCAGCTGATATTTAAACAGATACTGGAGGCACTCAATTCGTTTCCTTGCTGCACAATGTACCTGAACTGGTTCGTCACCCACTCATCAGGTATCGCCTGCAGTGGGGCACCGCCCCAGCCGAGGATAGCTCTAATGTCCTAATAGATCTCCCGACACGTATGTTGTGTGTGTGTGTAAAGGCAAGTAAAGGACAAAAAATGGGAAGGAAAGGATTGCGCGGTCTGAGACCAGTTTGCTAAGTTACTGCTCCAGACCCAGCCATCTTCATAAACCCTCCACCGTCTGGATTCGCACTCAAGAACCTTCCGGTCCGCGACGCTGCAGTAGTAGGCCAAACTACCTCTGAGCTACTCCAGCCGGTAAAATTACCTCAGAATCTGCCGTGTACGTAAAAGTGAAGCTAATACAGAGCAGAAGGCTTTGCAAGTGGCATTTATGTTCAAACCGCAGCCTTATCTCTCTTCCCACTCCTGAGATCACGAGGAAAATGTGATGTGCTTGTCATGTACCTCTTTGGCGTCCCCGGAGGAGCTTTCGAAAAATTCTCACGGACTTGGTGTCCGAATACCGGCGCTAGCCATGTCTTGTAGTGAGGAGCCCGACCACCTCCTCATCGACATACTGATATGACACAGTGCCCACAAAGTTAGGTATCGAAAGATTTTTTAGTAATATATTTTCAATCAGAAAAAAATTGAAAACAGGAATACATATGGTATCTTAAATATTACGTATTTTGCATTGTGATTAATATTCTACGTACATTATGCGAATAATGAATGTATTTTATTGCACAAGGCTCACGTACGCTCCAGTCAACATTAAGCTGTTTTTGTATCCGGCAAAGAATATAATTTTAATTTTCAAGTTTACATTGACATGCTTCTGTGTTTTTAGGAAGCCGCATTATTTTCTTCCATTTGATGAAATCACAAGCCTTTGTGTAGTATGTTTTGCAAATATGAGTTGGCTGACTTGAATAATGTGAAGATTTGGTCATAAATGATGTTTGCCGTCTTGCAAACAAAGACTAATTTACCACTTGGTTACGCTTAGAAATTACCACATATGTGTCATTGTGCTACATTGACATTAAAAATTGGCATCCACGAAACACCCGATGAGACTAGAATGCTAGAGTACTACAGATCATGGCACACACGTTACCGAAGGAACTACGAGAAGATAAGTGCAAGTATTCATTTCAAAGAAAATTATGAAGAGAACATCTGACTGACAGTGATATATCTTCTTAAAGTAGCGTTTTGTAGATATGATTGTAACATCGGAGTTTTACACAATTCATAGACATTCCATGTTATACGCGAGTGTTGATGGAAACTTTTCATCATAACATATGGAATAAATGTGTTATTTTATTATAATTGTTGATGTCAGACTAGTGGAAGAAATCTGTCCAAGGGTTTAAACTTTTAAAACTACATGGTACGTGAAAAGGATAAAAATAGTTAAACCAAACACGGAAACTGGCCTTGAAATTGACTTTCCACTGATGCGATTTACTAGTTTGTGATATTGTAAGACTGAGTACTCAGTAGTGTAATGGAGTGACGTAAAATTATTAGATATGGAGGTTAGGGTTTTATCATCGTTACTTTTTTGAAGTGCAAAATAGGTAACCACTTTATTAATAAGTTTATTAATTCAAGTCTAGATCTGATCAGTCAAAATATTGTAATTGCTTCGATCACCAAACTCTTTTCTTGTTTTCTGTAAATTGTTGTGATACTGATTGTACGTTTTGGTATTGGACCTTAGGGTCTGACGTCAAAGAAAGGAAGGTTTCTTTTTAGACAAACACTTCGATCATTTTAGATCCCCATATAAGTGATAGCAGAGAAGTTTTAACTTTCTCTGTGGCTCACTTCATATTTGTAACGAAAGGTTAAACTTTTTTGTGTCGTAATACGCCTTCTATATGGTTAAATCGTACGATATTGTTTGTCTGATGAAGCGTCTTAATCTCTAAGCGATTTTGATTAAGTTTTGAAGTGATGTTAAATAAATATTAAAATTTTGCCCTCGCGTTAAGAAAACGTAATAGAAAAAAGTATGTTCAGAAGATTCTTATTTTAATTTAGGCTAGCTGGAAATATAGTAATTAGAGCTAAGATATTCAATTAAAAATGCATATCTACATGTATAATGTAGGCATATACTATTATTTCTAAATTATGTATTCAATACGCAAAATTATCTGCTCATTCTGTAATTTTATAATTAAAATAGTTGATTGCATTTTGATCCTACATGAAAGGCAAATATGCGTTCCTGTCAATGCCTACCGTATGTAATTGGATATCTGGTTTTTGGAATATATTGTCAAAGAAATGTTCAGGATTGTATTGGGATGTTTTACAATTAATCAGTTCATTTACAAAGCACGGAAATGACAAATTTCTTGAAATAATTGAAAGCATTGTAACAAAGTGTTTTGGTTTGTCTAATAAAACAAACACAAATAATTATTTTTCTGCCCATGTACCTCTGATTAACACAAACTGTCTGTGATTACAAGGCAATAAGTCATTTTCGTTTAATATTTAAAATGTTCAGGGGAATACAATACATTCATTTTGTCGAACAACAGAAAAATTGCATTGTCTAGGTCATACATATTGTACATTTTAACCTTTTATTGCGGTGACATGAACAATTTTGTTAAAGACATTGAAGAGCCGTACAAAACAAGTTTTAATGTTTTGCTTCTGGGTCGTTGAGTACATTAGGTTTAGAATTTCTTGCAGGCGTAATTCATATCTCAGAGTGCTTTTTAATGTAAATTTCGTGTTCAAAATATTTCATTAAGTTTTACTGATAATCTGCGACCACATATTTTCTTGCTGAAACACCTTACTGACATTATCGAAACATGATTGCTATCCATGTCATTTAATTCTACATCCCCTTTGGATCTGAATTTCTTGTGGAAATAAAGAATTCTAAATTAAAGAGAATTTTAAAAAAATAGATAATTGATGTATGTCAGTACATTTTTTGTTTTAGTTACCTGCTTTTCTGAGATCGTCAGACTAGTAATATAAATTTACAATAAATGTGACATTTTCTTTTGAAAGATACCAGTTACATTTTATAAATCTCTTGTTGCGCCAGGAAATTCTGGATTGCTGTAGATCCACTTCATCCGTGATGCGAATAAGTGTTGCACGGTTGTCCATACCCGCTGGAAGCATTAGAACTGCTCACTCCCTTGTACCCATTATGTCCTCTGGCACCCGCGTAGTACCCTCCGTGCGGCTTACCGCCGGCGGTGTTCCCTCCAATGCCAGCTCCGGCATGGTAGCCGTCGGGCGTGCCCGCCCCCGCGTACAGCCCGCCCTTGGCTCCTTTGCCGCCGCTGGTGCTGCCGCCGCCGCCGGCGCCCGCGTAGTAACCGTCGGGCGTGCCCGCGCCTGCGTACATCCCCCCCGTTGCGCCGCCGCGGCCTGCGTGCCCGCCCAGCCCCGCCCCCGCGTGGTAGCCGTCGGGCGTGCCGGCGTCGGCGTACAGCCCGCCGGCGGAGCCGTGCTTGCCGCCCGTGGAGCCGCCCAGCCCGGCTTGCGCGTGGTAGCCCGTCGCGGGGCGTCCGGCCAGCGGGCGTACATGGCCCGCCCGCGGAGCCGCGCTGCCGCCGAGGAGCCGCCGAGCCGCGCCGCGGCGTAGTACCGTCGCGTGCGGCGCGTGCGCTCGCGCTGGTGCAGCCCGCCGCCCAGCCCGGCTTGCGCGTGGTAGCCGCCCCACGAGGCGGGCACGCCGCCGTTGCCCAAGGAGACGAATGGCTGCGTGCACCACACACTCTTCAAACTGAGGTAGGGTGGTAGCGAGTATGGTTTGGTAGCGACGTATGGGTTTTAGCGACGTATGGGTTTGGTAGCGACGTAGGGTTTGGTAGCGAACGTATGGGTTTGGGAGGCGACGTATGGGTTTGGGAGCGACGTATGGGTTTGGGAGCGACGTATGGGTTTGGGAGCGAAAATGTTAATGTATTTTGTAATCCGATCATTCGTGTCGTCGCTGACATTTGAGATCGCTGAAGAACTGAGGTTATGTTGCCCAACAACGGTACTATTCCTAGCTTGTTTTTGATTGAAAACTGAACTCTTGAACAATGCACATGTCAGTTCTAATTCGAAATATGGAAAATACAGCTACAAAACAATTAGATGCTATAAACCAAAGTATAATTCGAATGTACATTTCTATTTTTCAGTAGTCAACTGGGCAATATTTCACTATTGCAACGAATTAAATAAATACAACTCAAGTTCAAAACTAATTTATTTAATGAAAATTAACTATGTATTAACCACCTTCACTATATTACACTACACTTAAAAAATCAAATATTCGAGAAATGTGCACCGCCAGAATTGGGTGCAGACTTCCTGCTTTCTAGATCGCAACTTCGATGTTATTCGATATTATGAGTTGATGCAAGGCGTGTAGTTCAAAAAGATATCCATAGATCGCACTTCAAGCTAGGTTCTCTGGGAAAGGCGTAGAGGCCACCTCGTCGCTTAACTTTGTAAAAACAACGCCCCCAAATGTCCTATTTAATCCAAATCACTCTTTAAACACTCTCAATACTAATAATAACCAAGTATGAAAATTTCACCGAAATCGATCGAATTGTTTTTGCGTCTATTTGCGACAGACATACACCCTTCTTTTTTATTTATGTATACGTAGAGAATTTGGTAGTGATGAATTCTACTGCAACTTTTTTCTACTCTTTTTCTGTGAAAATAGGAGTAAGGAACCAAGGAGATTTGTAATTGGGATACGCATAATAATCGAAGGCAAACAATAACATTGTAAGAAAATTATTGGATTGTTGAGGGTTTTAATGTGACATTTCTTGCCTCCTGTTGTTCGAATTTGGAACTTAGTGCTATAGAATCAGCACTCGAGGCACTTGATGAAGTACCGAACATGATCATACCTGAAGAAGGATCGTATCCGATCAAGTACCAGTTATTCGCAATGGCTCTTTAGTTATTTTTCCTGTGACCAAGCGAATAAATTACACGTGCAATTCGCCTCACTGAAAGCACTTGAAGCCTCTGGTCAGAGGTGGAAGTCAGGTTCAAACATCAGGGGGACAAGAAAACGTGGGGATGGTTGGGAGAAACGTCTTACCCCTCCAAGCGCGTTGCCCAACAGCATCACTCCTAGGACCGCCGCCAACAGCGCTCGCGTCGCCATCTTCAGGCCGGCAGTTTCCGCGAAGGCTTACTGCTGTCGTCCTCGTTCTGAAACACACAGTTTTCAGGTTATGTGCGAAGTTTTCTGCAATCAGCTAGTTGGAACAATATTTCCTTTAATAACATTAAAAATTTCTTTATTTGGGCATTGTAGTAAGTATTAATTCAAAATGGTAAGTCTTGTTTGTTTTATTTTTCACGTGAACTTTAATAATATTCGTATTAAATGTATTCGATTTGTGTTTCAAGATATTATGGGGGCGGTAAGTTAAAGTAATGTGAAAATTAAAATAAAATGTATTGAGAACAACAAATTTCAGTTAGTAATAGAATTCATAGATAACATAGAAATGGTGATTGTTCAAACTCTACTTTTTTTTGATCTGTTTAGTAGAGTAATATAAACGAAGGCCAAATCATCAGACATATTAGATGGTTGTATATAGTCACGTCAGATTATAACAGGTTATGACTTGAAACTTCTCATATTAAAACTCTCCAATTTACCTCTATTGTTTTATTAAATTAAAACAATTCATGAATGAATGATAGGTTAAACATAAAAGTTGCAACGTTTCAGTCTGCCGATGTTTGGGACTCTTTGGGCAATCATTCGTAGAACAATTCAAACAATCAACATTATAATTCAACAGGAAGAGCTCCACTTCTCACGGTATAACAGAGTTGAAGGCTGGGGCAAGCATTCAAGTCATTAATACGAAAATCGCAAATGTAAAACGACTGTTGGAAGAAGGTAAAAATTAATCTGAGAACAATGGTATTCATCAATCATACATTCAACATTATATCAAGAAGGTTATAAGAATGAAATTAGATGGTAGAATATTATACAAAATATTATATTAAACAAACAAAACAAAATATAACACAACTAATTGCACAATCTTAGAAATAACAAAATTTCTTCTGTGTTAAATGTAAAAGATCGTACTCAATGTGCATGCTGTTATTTGTGTTGATTCGATATTAGCTACTGCTGACTAAAGATTCATGTTGTTTGCAAATTCGGGACGAGCGCGACTAATTCAGAGTAACGCCAATCTAATCCACGCCATGTCATTGTAAGCTTTTACTGAAACTAAATTTGCGCAATCTATTCTGGGATATTTTTTGAAAAAGTTTTAAACAATAACCAGTACTTAGCAGCCTCATATTGCTTCTACATGAAAGATACCTAGGACATTTTACTACTTATGTACAAAATTCTGCCTCGGTTGTACCATTTCTATTATCTCTCTTATTACAAGAGAGACGACAACGGAATGTTTTTCCCTCTAAAAACGGCATTTTTCTTACAATATATCGGCGTTTTGGTAATACAAATAATATTAATACGACAATATTTTCGATGCATTACAATAACATATAAACGCAATGCTACCAACATTTTTTTTACTCACATATTCGTCGTCAGGATACCGACACGACAATGGTCTCAGTTACATCTAACCGTTACTAATGTTTCCAGCTGAACGAATATGCAACCTAATTAGATCTAATTGTCCCTAACTTTGCTAAAAATTTGGGAAGAATTACATCGCATTCCCCAAGCGCGTCATGGCACACTGAGGATTGTTAGCCGTTCCAAAATCAACCGTCCGAAGCCGAGACACACAACTGACTTTAAATAAGAAATATTTGTTTAAAGAAAAAACATATTATATTATATTTGTTATAACTATGATTCGTATATTCGATTTATTGTGGTTATGTAAATGATAAGGGACTCTGATGTTGTTTTAGATCGACCTTAAATATAAATATATAAATACAAATATATATAAATATAAATACAAATATATATATATATATATATAAATATAAATATATAAATATAAATATATAAATAAAAATATATAAATAAAAATATATAAATAAATATATGAATATAAATACATTTAAAAAAACAGCTGGCACTGAGAGATCAATACATTTGTCCAAGCCTTTTTTAACTAGATGCATCCGTCTCCGTGTTTGGGAAAGACCGGTTACAGGGAAATTGCTGTAGAGTTTTGACGAGCTGCGGAGGTACGCGGCGTGAGAAGAGGAGGCTCTCCGTATGCGCTGGAGCTCCCTCGGGGAGGAAGGTTGGGCAAGCACGCGCGCGCCGGCTGTTTGCATACGCTACCGGCAGCACAAGGCCGTCGCGTCGCGTCCCGTCGCTTGCTCGCGAGCTAGCTCTTTGTCCGTGGGCCGTCGGAAGCCTTCCGAGCCGCTGCGGGTAACCTCTTCGGGTAAAAGAATTCCGGTGTAACGACTCGCGTGGCCAGGGCTTTGAACTCACCAGCAGGGATGTTCCTTTGTTCGACGTAGAGGCCACGCCAGGCGCCAATTACATTGCCGAGTAGTTTGGTTGCGATTTGCATCGTCCACCGTCGTTACTGAATTGAATACTTGCAAAAGTCTTGGCTCGATAATTCAACAATAAATGTAATATTTACAATTGCTAGGTGGTTCGTAAATAAACCATATATAAAGACATTTTTATCTGGCTTGGGTGCTAAAATTGAATTTGTTTTGAAAAAGATTACTGCTTTGTCAACATTTGAATCAATTGGATCTTATAATGAGAACTATTGGTTCATTTCGTAATCCCATTTATTGTAGCAGCATTTATAATAATTCACGTATTATTCCTCCATCTACTCCTAGGTTCCCAAGGTTGTGCGAAGTGTTGGCCTGTTTCTGGGACTTATCTGAAAGGCTACTTCACGAATTTCTTAACAGCGTTGTATTCAGTGACGCAGCCAGAATTGAGGGGGTGTAGATCCAGGCGACTTGATGTTTTATTATAATTATTTTTTTTATTTATGTTGACTTTAAAATTTATTTTTATTTGTTGGTTTATAGTTATTCCAAAGGAAACCAGAAATTGAAGCTATTTCCTGGCTCCGCAGCCCTTGGTGGCTCGTTGGTTAGCAAGCTTGCTTTCCACGGGTTCGATTCCTGGTCGGGGCAAATATTAACCATGCGCTTTCCTTGCAATGTCCCGGTATCTGTTGCTGTGTGACGAAGGGAAAGCTCACTTCTCGGGTTGAGAATACCATAATGCAGCGTAGGGATGGCTATGTGCTAACCACACATACCCCTTAACCCTTGGCCGCAAGGTCGGGAGGCTGCTGGGAGGCCTTAGCTCGTAAAGAGCTGTTGTGCCTAAGTGCATACATACATACCCTGGCTCCGCAGTAGATAATTGCTATAAAGCATTAACTAGAAAACGATTGCAAATTGCTAAATGATGTTTGACTTTGTGGTTAGACAATTAGCAAATCCACTTAGATTAGACACTTTTATACTCTGTATCACATAGATGGTATGTCATCTGGAAAAGAATAGATGCTTTCAGTAATTTGCTCAAAACAGAATATCTTAGACATGTAGAATATCATCTTAGATTTCAAGGAACGAGTAGTTTTAACTTCGTTTCTCGGTAAATATTTTCTGCATAATTAATAGTCAACCGATGGAATAAGTTTCTCTTATTATAAATTGTTATTTTTGTCATTTACGCCTGGGCACTGTAGTAGCAGCTCCTGCCGGTTGTAGCATAGGGTGACACAGCTAACATTTTTTTACTACTGCAATTTTATTAGTTAGGTGATATTACGTAATATGGACGTTTGTGTCATTCTTAATTACTCTTTGCAGCCATAGTCGCGTCACAAGTTTCTTGCGGGAAATAAATTACTCTTTTCTTCTACTTTACGATCCATTGCTACCAGAGCGCCACAGAACTGAAGTGTAGACGATAGCAAACCTTTGCCTTCAAGTGGGGGAAGGTTGTGCACATTGGGGAGTATTTATCAATAGTAGTAATCAATCTCACCGTGGATGGCTCCCGGCCTCTCGCAACAGCCTCACCGGCCGATGTTACGGTGGTTCGCAAGTGAATAAGGCCGCTGTTTCTGATAGTGTATGTATTTGCATGCTCAACGCACAGCCGCACGCCAAACACGGCAACTTCGGCAACTTTGTGTGAACTGACAGTTTACCGTGATTTGTGTGAGTGTGATTAAAGTGTGTGTTAATTTCAGTGGAATTGAATGCATTATTATGACTAAGAATTTTCTCTGGAGAAGAAAAGGGGTGACGATTGCATTTACAAATAAATACACCGATTTATTAGCAATTTTAATAATAATAGTAATAATAATAATAATAATAATATATTTATTTATAAATTTAAGCAATAATTCATGTGTGTGTCAAAATTCTTAGAAGAAAAATCAATACGGGAAATGTTGTAAGTACTTGTACATTGTATTTCTAAAATGTGAAAATTCGTTAAATGCCAACCCGAACATCCTAGAACGTGCGCCTATATTCCTCAAACCTTCCCCACTGTCGGGTGTCGAGACCAATGGCAAACTATAACCAGGATTTATTGCCGGACACGACTGCGTTCGTCCCTCTGTTATTATTCGTGAACCATCTCCGTTTGAAGGGAGCAGCCGTTACTGATTTATGCAGACTTATGAAAGAACTAAGCGTTACCTTCCTTCCTACAACTGTTTTCTCGCTTGGGAAACTCCTAAGAGACCCTGTTTCAAAACGTTATGAATATATGTAAATGCAAATTACAAGTAAACATAGGTTATTTTGGGATGTTCTATAGTTTATTGTTCAACTTGAATTGACAAACAGAAGAGTACTGATAGTTCCCATCCCCTCCATCGAGAAATTAATACAATGATTTAAGAAATTAAACATGTTGAAAGCTTCGGCAACATTATTTAAATACCAATAATTTGATTTAAATATATTTCTGGACAATTTATATCCAAAATCATGAAAACAATAAGTTATATTTATTTCGTACTTAAAAACGCAATAAAGAAAATTTCAAAAAGCTTTTTGCAGTTTTCGAGGAAGACATGTTCCGTGTAGGTTTTTTTTTCAGACAAAAAGTGAACAAAAACACATTAATGTTGAGAAATAAAACATTCAGATGATTTATATTTGAAAAATTACTTTATGTGTTTCTGGATTATTGATTCAGAAATAGATTACGAATCTCTCGTTTACAATTACATTTATCCATTGATTATTTTATTTTCGTAAACACTAAAAGTTGATTTGATGTGTTAAATTAACATTTGTCTTACGAAATACTTACAACGTGAGGCAGTTTCACGTAATCAACATTGTACTTCAGGAGTGGATTGGATTTGATTTATTTTCGTCAAAGAACAGTAAAAACTATGTGAAGATTGTAGGGTTACCATTTGTCCTCTTTTCTTCGAAGACGTCCTCTTTATGAAGTTCGAAAAACTGTCCGGGTGGATCTTACAAGAGAGAAGGAAATGTCCTCTTTGTTAATGGAATGGGTAAACTACTGATAAATGCAACCTAGATATATGATGTACGAATTATACTGCACTTTTTTCAACTTTTTCGAGCCCCCGAGTCGGTCGCAACTAGGAAAAGGAGAGCTAAATAAAAATTGCACGTAGTGAATTTACATTATACCCAGAAGCGACATAAGGGGTCATCTCTACATTCCCATAATGGATCAGAGACCCGGACGAAAAACCTTACCTAGGTGGAGGTCATTGTCTCAGAAGCTGAAGTACATTATTTGTTGCAGGAATATTTAAACCTTTTAATATTATACGCTTTGTATATCATTTTTAAAATATGTGTAAATATTATTTTTCTTCCACATGGTCAGTGCAATGTTTAATTGTGTAGAAACAGTTACGTTGCAGAAAAGGTTTTCCATTTCATTAAACTTGGATATTAAATTTAATAGTTTAATATCATCTGGCAATATGTTGCAACGATCGTACATATATTACGTGTGGATTTATTGTAGTGAATGCCGATTATAAGGCTTACTGAACAACGCCTTCATCATCTTTCTGAGGTTTGCTTCAAATCATTTGCTCAAAAGAAGACAAGATTATTGAAACCAACTTACGGTCAATCGACCTAGAACACAATGTTACACATACGACCAAGAGGAAACGTGGGTGGTAGCGAAAGCCTAAGACTTCACACTCCCGGCTTCATGCCTGAAACGCGAACCCTGGGGCAAGGAGTAATTAACAGAATGACGCACGATCCATCCTCGCCGCGTGTTCTTTGCACTCCTGCGACCGCCGTTTGTTTCTTTTCCAGGTGGTCTCTGGCCCCGTCCACTTTTTGTGTCCTTACAATTACCCAGGGCCTTTTCCATCGACGCGTCATCGTGGCAATAACTCTACAGTCACGTGCCAATACACTATGCGATCAAAAGTATCCGGACACGTCCGAAATGGTGTTATGGTGTGGTCGTGTTTTTCATGGAGGAGGATTGCACCCCTTGTTTTGTGTGACACTATCACGGCACAGGCCTATGTTGATTAAAACGCCTTCTTGCTTCCCACAGTTGAAGAGCAATTCGAGGATGGCAATTGCATCTTTCAACACGATCGAGCACCTGTTCTTACTGCACGGCCTGTGGCGGAGTGGTTACACGACAATAACATCCCTGTAATGGACTGGCCTGCACAGTCATGACGTGAATCCTATGGAACTCCTTTGAGATGTTTTGGAACATATACTTCTTACCAGGCCTCACCGACCTACATCGATACTTCTCCTTAGTGCAGCACTGCGTGAAGAATGGACTGCCATTCCGTACTAGACCTTCCAGCACCTGATTGGAAGCATGCCTGCGAGAGTGGAAGCTGTCATCAAGGCTAAGGGGGGTCAACACCCTTTGAATTCCTGCATTACCGATTGAGGACGCCACGAACTGGTAAGAAATTTTCAGCCACGTGCCCGGATACTTTTGATCACATAGTCTATGTGCCATGTTTTTCTATATGATTATTGAGAGAAGCTACAGATCTTCTAGAAGTTTTGGAAATTTAGTTTTACGAGTATTGCTTCTAACATGAAAAGACGATTGTATTGAGAATAATGAACCAGATATTTAGTCTTTCCGTTCATTTAAAAAAAATGTATATGATTTTTTTTCTGGAAAATAAAACTGCACGTTCATCAACTGGTATATTTTGAATAAACATCAGGAGAAAAAATTAGTAATTCCTAAATAGTTCTACAATGTTCGTCAGGAAATGAACTACGCTATAACAACATTTGAGCTCGCATACCGCGATAACAAAATACAATTTTTAAACAGCGCGTTTTTTAAGGGACCTAACTCTAAATCTGGCAGTTAGTGCGACACATTAGCAGAACACTGCAGCCATCTTGACAACAAATGTTATTCCGTAAATTTGTTGGAATTTGTCAAAAACATTTTGTTCGCAACTTTCTTTGGTAATGCAAAGCGCTTAGTTTAATTAGCGAGATTGACGTGCAAGAACCAACAGACACAGTTGGAGTTTCGCAGTTTCAACTGCATATTACCTCGAGTGTGTTGGGATGAACTTGGACCTTCCCCAGGAAGAAACCGTAGCCATTCCCTGAAGCGACTGCCTTGGGCGTTGGGTGATTATCCGAATGACATAGTGCACACGGCCGCGGGACTCGTTCCTCGCTTTTTCCGTCATTTGTGTTGACCTCCGTGTGTCGCTTCTCACTTGTCTCCTAATCCCTTTTCGTAGCTCATGTGGTGAACTCTTAGAAGTTTTGAATTATCGATTCATTCCACTAGATAACTTTTATGTTCCAATATTTCATAAAAAACTTTAAATTTAAAATAAAATTTACATTCCTGCAAAAAATTTAATTCATTCTGGAACCAACAGTTTCTTTGAGTCTTACCGCTATGTCCGTTTAGCTTGAGTAAAGTCTAATAAGTTACTCAAAAATGTTGTAACTTTACAACAGTCTATGAAATTAATTTCGTTAATTAATTTCATTCCAGTTCTAACACCATACTTGTGATAATATCAACTCAGTAAATGAATTAAATCATGCTATCCTAATATTAACGTACGGCATAATGCTTAGTATCGCTTTAGAGACAAATTTACATCTGATAATTCACTCATAATTTAAAAGACATCTTCGAAAAATCGCTTTCGATTTCACTGAGGTCAGATTAATGCTATTGCAAATTATTGATAACACGTACTTTGGCTACTCTGGCTACATGTTTACTAATCCCTTTGCAATAGTACTGATATTATATCTGCTTCCTCATACGCTGCGAGTGTCTTCTTGGGCGAAAAAATCGAACATAATGCGAACACCCCGTGCATGTAGAGAGCGTTGTCTCCTTTCGCAGAAGCGATGAATTAATTACCTGACTGACGTAGGCAGCGCCTCCGATGTGCAAGTTCTTTGCTCCTTCCCTGACCTGCGATGGACCTCTACGTCCCAGTGTGTGGCGCTCGCTGTGCTCCAGACTCCTTTTTGTACCCCTCGCGTCGTGACCTTTTGATGTTTTTCCTGTAAGAGCCGCGGACCCACTACGTAGTCGGGCAACCAATTCCCTTCCAGTTTCCGCGTGAGAAACGACGGCTTCAGTCTGTTGTTGATACCTGAAGATGTAACGGCGAGACAACCGGAAACAAGAGCCTGCTGGGTGTGCTTGTGACACTTTGTCCTTCATTTTGCAAGCACATCTATTAAGGAATTTCCGATTCTGAGGAAGTTTTCAGGGGAATTACTTTTCCTGTTGTTTTAATAGATTGCTTAATTGTAGTCTGCGTCAGATGAGTCACTTCTGCAACTTTTCTCATGCAACAAAACCATTGACAGCATTTTTGGAAGCTATTTTTGTCACTTGCTAATATGGTAAAAATCTGCACAGTCGAAGTTGTCTTAGTGACAATGTAAATATGTCCATCAAAATGTTCAAAATAAATGAATGGATAGTCATATTATATTTATATTCGAAAGATTGAACCTGATTTTAAAATCGCAAGAAACCCTGTAACAACTGATTTCAAAATCGAACTGGGGAATGATATCTATAAAATGACTTAATTTCCATATTCAGTTGCCCGTACAAAACATTCGTGAAGTAGTCTCCCCACCGACGATATTGGTGTACTTGGCAAAGTCACGCAAGATATTTGTTACATTTCTTTCAAAAAGTGTGCAATTAAAATATTACTTTGGTGCAGATTGTTCTAATTATATTCTGATGACAATGTGAATTTAGTAAGTTTCCGTATCATCACTTGTCTTTCTTATATACATTTCTATCAGTTTATTGAAGCGATTGACCCCTAAATAATATACTGAATCAATAAGCTACCCAGCCTATCGGGGATGAGCAGTAATATCCTGGGACACTCCAGACATTGCTGATTCACGTAGAAGTGACCAGAAGTGTTGTGGCACGCCAGCTGTCTGATTCAAGATTGGTTGGTTTAAGATCAATTGGTTTAAAGTCCAATAGATCCATGTACAACTTTGGGTGGAGGAAAAGGTTCATATCAGGTTTACTTAGTGTTCTCCCGCTTCTACTAATTCTTACACCTCCTACCTCTACTATTCATGCTCAGTTATCACATCATCGACAAACATCGAAACTTAATTGTGTAATGGGAGCCCCAACGAAGTACCATGTAACCAAAGAGCGAAATAAAACTAAAATCTCAGAAAATAAATATCCTGTGGGATTTCGACGAACAGTGTTGGTAGTAAGTAACCCAACAACTCAGCATGGAAATCAATCCCTTTTCATTCTATACACTCAATCCTTGGATGAATACAAAACAGCCTAATCTCTGTATTCCTACATGCTCAGGCTGCATGAAGATGTTGTGATCTCAATCCTTGGATAAATATAAAACAGTCTAATCTCTGTATTCCTCCATGCTCAGGCTGCATGAAGATTTCGTGCTCTCTGTACCTTAGTGACGTCGAGGAGACCGTACGCTGTGGAATTGCGTATTTTATAATTGTTATCAAACATTAATCATGACATAATACAAATTAGAAGATAAAGCGTTAAAATGATCATGTTAAGTGTTGATTTGTCATATTTTTCTTTAATTTTTAATCTGTAATGCCTGTCACCTGGAGAAGACAAAACATGGTTTGTTGGAACGTGATCTTTTTAATGCAAATATGTAACCGTACGTTATAATACAGCCTGTATAAAATTATTTATAAAATATATTTTTTTACAGTTTAGATGTGGATATTTAGGTATTTTCGCCACAAAATGCTGTATTATTAAAAAACAAAAGCTAGTGGCAATGCGCGGCTTACCGTATTATTTCCTCCTTTTAGTGTTACCACTCAACAATTACTCAATGTTTAAAAAATTTCATGATCTCATTTAAAGATCTAAAATTGGATGAAGCTATGCAGAAAGCACCCATGTCACAAAAATCAACCTTGGAAAATCAAACTTGGAATGTTGCGCGTCGAAAATCAGATATGTTTGAGATGTGGCTGTACAATCGTTACAAAAGTTCCACGTATTCACTATACGCAAAATAGAGACTGCAAATACATTTTTTCATATAGTTCAGTATTATTTTCTCTGAACCTAAATTTCAACATCTTTCTGAAAACGCAATGGCAATCATTTATATTTACTCAGATCTATGCATGAATGCTGTAAGGAAATGTGACGACGAAATACTGCTGTTCACGTTGTCTTCAAAACGTAATGCACCATTCATTTATAACAGCTGCATATTTTTTGTAAAACAAAACAACAAATCAACACGTGTCAGACGATTGCTACATATTGCTTTTATATACACTCACAAATCCTTGTGGTTAAAAACACTTTAAACTTAAGAAAACTAGCTGTATTAGCTTTTCTAACAACCTTGCATTGACTTGTTTTATCGAAGAGGAATTACGAAATGCTTTCAATAGGGAGATTGTAGCTTACACAATAATAAACAAATGACGGCAGATAATCGTTCATTCTAGTAATTTTAGAATGTTATTAAAATTTACTGTGTAGGCTATAAAACCGGTAATAACGACAAATGATAAAATACCTTGAACCCACTACTTTTCATTTAAAGCAATTACGAAATTTGGTTGGAGGGAATGTTAACTCGTACTTTCTAAACAAAACCCGCACAGCTTTTTGCAATTTTCTAAATGTTAGAGGATTTACTGAAAATTGAAACTATTCCATACTTATAAATACACTCACTTCTAAGCATTTCATAAGAAATATATTTTAAGATCAAATTTTCTGCTATTTTCTAGAAAATGTTGAAAGTGTCATAGGGGCTTCATGCCTCAAAATTAAAATATATTAATCATCTCCGTAACGGCACAACTGGTATGTCTGGTATATTCCTGATGTATTAAAGTAAAAATCGCTTACGAGGGTTTCAACCGAACGAACTATGTTTAATTTCTAACCTACGATGTTTGGCACGATTCTGGGATGCTACGATGCTGGGAATATTCGCTTTAATAGATACCCATCTTATCCTAATGTAAAGAAATTTTTCACTGTCGGTTATCAAGTTAGATCAGCCCTAATGAGTTTTGTAGTTTCAATATCAGGTAATAAATTTAACATAAAATTTAATATCAGCGGCGTTAATGACCAAACCGGAAAATACGAGGTGGTAAATGAATCCAAAATCATTTGACGATTTGATCTTTGCTCTCAACGTGCGACGATCGCGATGTAATAATCTGGCTGCGAAACAAGATCGTTTCATCAGCCTCAGTTTGTCTCGAACTTTTTTAAACGTAACAAAACTCTGTTACATCATAATCATTATCTAGAGTTACCATATTTCCATTTTCGGAAAAGCGGACATTTCTTATAATGTAGAGGACACTTCATATAAAATGTTTTAATATAATAATTTGTTTTTCCTAAAGACAATATACCTACTACTGACAATTATTGCAATCACTTTCACAATGACGTAAAAGGTCTATTTCATCATAATTACAGCCTTTCCCACTTTTATACCAGAAATATTTGGTGAATAATGAAATCTTCCTCAACAATTAGAACTTTGATTTCAACCTTGCATCAAACGCCTTGAACTTTTCTTTATGCTTGTCATTAAACAAGGTTTTTCTTTTTGACATCATGCTCGAGACGTCACATACAGTTTTTACTGTTTTTTGACTAAATAAATCTAAGTGTCAGCGCTATAGGTATTTGCACAGGCCAGCAAACAGTACTAACACGACACAGCACAGAATCTATTACTAGCCCCAGCATACAATACGTTGTATCAGCTAGTAGCAGCACTGTCGCATTTCATGGGGTAAAGGACATTTTAAGGAGATAAATAAAAATGTTAAAACGTACTACAAACAATATTTAATTATTATATCGCTTTCTTCAAGATATTGCATCATTTATGTCTCGTAATTATTATTTTCATCAGCGGAGCAAAAACCGTTAAAAATCCTTATTACAATCACTTAGATAAAAGGAAGAGACTTAAGTCAGAAAAAATGAGAAATTTCAATTTTGCAGAAGCGGTAGGTGATGGAAAAAACCAAAGGCTCAAACACATCAAAAGAATGGACTCTGTTCGATTGCTACATCATACACAATATTAGAATATCTGACTACTAAAAAAATCCAACGGTAGTCTGAGGGATTACTTCAGCCCAGGCTACAGGATGCAACCATGTCGATAATGATATCCATTTCTAAGTAGTGTTTAACGGTTTTAATCAGATCGTTATAGCTGATGGCAAAAAAATGTATTTCCACTTCTGGGGAAGTTCCCAAACGTCTTTTGTTGAGTCCGTTCAAGTGACGTGTTCCTACTTAGGTTACAATTTTTGTCTCGAAGTGTTTTTAACTCGACTTCAGAGCCTGAGACAATGATGGAGTGGAATGTACCTCTTATTGTCCTCGTAAATTACGCGCATGCTTAAAAAAGGATATTTGTCTCATGAATATTTAATGTCTGCACGTCATCAAATGGTGAACTTCCACACTCGGTTGTTTTTTATGTCTCTAGGAATTCATGATAGGATGAACTTCAACTTGAACAGGAGGTTTTACATAGCTGGTTTCATCATGGGAAACTCCCAGGAACTGTGCAGTTACGGTGGCTCCAGAAAGCTTGTTACAATGTTCACCTGTCGGTAAACAACCTCAAATGTTATGGAAGAGAGGGGCGGGAGAATTTTTATGAGTTAGATCAGTGTTTCCTACTGATGATTTGCAAACCTTAAGACTCCGCGGTATCAATGTATGTTATCCGCAGCAATCCTCACTTTAAATTAGCGCACTGTCATTAAGTCTGTAGTCAAACATTTAGTATAAATATAGAAAAGTGTTTTACGTTATATTTAATACCGAAAGAATGTGAAGTATGCATACAATATTTTAGGCCTTCAATTTGAAAATTAAATTAAGTCAGGAATAAGTAGCTTCTTGGCTGACCGGGGGACACCGCGCCGTGTCCTATAAAAAGGCACAACA